CACTGCTCGAGTTCGCGCCTCGCAGCTCCTTCTGTTGTCATCAGTGATGGCATGGCCTCACGTGTATCGCTCATCATTCATAACGATCTACACCTGAGCACGCCTAGACAACAGAATAATTCGTTTTGCGCTAGCAGGGGAGAACCTTTGCTTAGATTCTTCCTTGCAGAGAGGTCCATATGGCATGTTCGCTATTTAGTTACTTCTCCGATGGTTCTGTAGATAACACTCAACCACTCGGGCATAGTATGACTGTCACCAGCGACCCAAACTCCACACTCTTCAATAATCAAATACTCGTCAAAGAATGGTACAAATGAAGGAATGGTTACACCCACGTTGGACTGAGGCTAGGGGTCGGACTTGGACTCGGAGTGCTCATTGGCGATTCTCGCTTCCGTCTCTCGTGCTGCCTCTGAACCGTCTGGTTTCTCTTCATCCGCTCTCGGTTCTTGAGGAAGCGCACATAGTCCTTTGCTTGGTGACCAGTGGCCTCGGTAAACACCAGTATTTCAAGGTTCTCCTTCACCTTGTTGAAGAGATACTCTCGATGCTCGGCCGGCATCGAATACATGCACTGGAAGAGATCTTGATCATCCATCAACTTGCGGAAGTTGCCATTGAGACCGGGCATTCGAGGCGGCGGTGCCGACTTTGCGGCGCGCGGTACTGGCACCGACTGCGTGTTCACGTTATCAGCACCATAAGGATATGGCCAGACAACCTGAACGGGAAAAAGAAATGGGCATCATGGGTCTTACCGTGTCCACCTACCCCTGATAGCGATACAAACCTTGCGCCCCTTCCCACCCTGGTAGTGAGAACATCACCAGCCGTAGTAACAGCTACACAGACTGATGACAAGACTGGCTGTAGTATGAGTCTTCGGGGTGGGGGCACTTCAGGAGGCAGCACCCCAATGAGGGTACTCGTATTACTCTCCTCACTACTATGGACTGTCGCTCCATCAGCCTGAATAGAAGCTCTACCTACTACTACGAGGATCGATGCTTAGACCCACTTTAGCTTTGCCACTCAGCACGACCATCTTACTCCTCCTCAAAACAACCGCAGTGAGTTTTTGACGGTTATTCCCCAGCAGTGGATACTCATCGGCGTCACAGTCAGCAGCAATGAATCTCACACCGTCGAGTGACACTCTACCACCATTGCCGTGAACAACTCTGACGGAGCCATCCGGTTGAATTCTGGCGCAGACACCTGCCGCGTGAATGAGCATGTTCACGGTCTCTCTCGGTCTCATCCCGGAGTCCGGGATGGTGCCAACAATGGTCGGCTCGGGAGGAGCCTCGACTGTCCCAGAGAGGACCACCAGACCGTCGATGGTCTTGAAGGCATGGACCGCAGAGGAGCACTGGACCGGCTGCGACAAGGGGGCTTCACGTTGGTGTTTCGATACAGCACAGACCGTCTTCTGCTGCTCTCCACTAAAACAAAGAGCCAACATTTTCACAGGTCATAGGCATCATGTATAATTCGGGTTCATAGTCTCGACGAGGAACACCGTGGTGCGTAGGCACTTTCATTCCCGATAAAGTACGCGACTCGACAAGAAGATTTCTCAACATGACAACAACATAAGCTGTGAATGGTATACTGCGGGCGTGCCACATGTATGATATATAGATACAAGAATACTATAGCAGACCCCCCTAGGCAAGAAAAAGGGGAACGCAGAAGAGATATTTTCGTTGTTAGCTAAATAACGTTCAGTAGCAAGATGCTACCACAATTAGCAGCAACAGGAAGCCCGAAAAGTAACAAAACATGAGTTAACTCACCTGGGATAACATATAGGAACGCATGCTGTCCCCGAGACGCCCGAAGCCTTATCCGTGCCTTCAAAATCAAAGGTGCCATTCTCGTATATCCGCAAGTTATCGTTAAGATTGGAGCCCCTCTGTGGATGGCGAGCAAAAGAGGGCACCACTAGACTAGCGTAAGGGGCACAGTCACCATCCACCTGACAATCAGTGATGGTTGCAACGATGAGTCTACCACACAATGAGGGACGCGATACCATCCAAGAGCTCACAGAGATCCGCTCGAACAAGTAGTGTAAGCCGATATACTATGAATGTTACCTTCCCTGGAGTTGCGACTGCTGGGGGCCTCAATATAGGAGGTAGTTGGAAGATCTGTCCCTCAGCCTTCTGTTTGGATACCCCATGAAGGATTGAACATACTAGATAAGAGGGTGATGGAGGGGACGTCCGACTGCTGCTCTTCACGCCATTGCTGCTGTCGCTGCTCTTGTTGTTGTTGTTGTTGTTGTTGTTGTTGTCGTTTTTGTTGTTGTCGTTGTTGTTGTTGTTGTTGTTGTTGTTGCTGTCGTTGTTGTTGTTGTTGTTGTTGTTGTTGTTGTCGAGTATCATGGATCAAGTGTAACACTACATGGAACATACTTCCCACTGTTAACTATTGACATATAGGATGAGTAGTGGACAGATAATCACGATCATATATGGACAGCGAGTAGCCCTTGATCCCATCCCAATACACGGGCATATCGCCGTCCACCACGATAAAAAAACCTAGAGGGATCCCCATCTATCCCCTTGCTCCTCGTTGCCACGATGAAATATAGACTCCCAAGAAGAGGGGCCCTCAATACTACTCAAAGGACGCAGCTACTAGACAATTCACGGCATTCCTTTCTGCCAATGAGACAGAGTCATCCCCAAATAGGCAGGTCGTTACTCCTCCCTATGAAAACTCTAAGCTCAACAACACTGTGGGGTGGACGGTGTAACCCCTTTAACAGCTATTACCTAGCATACAAGTACTCGAGTAACGCATCATCATCATCATGACCAGTCCGTCCTCCGACCTTTCGCATCGGAACACAGCTCTAGAACGGTCTTACACATACGCGCACTTATTCACTCAACACAGCTCAAGCTGATTCGAGGACTCGGCCAGCTAATCTTCCCATATAGCGTTTCCGAGATTTGAGAGCACTCAGAGTCCGATTCGAACCTCCAAGTGATTTATATAGCATTCGGAAGAGCTCACTGAGGTTGTCGAAAACCGATGCTCCGGTTGTATTTATCCTACAATTCTCACACGCCATGGAAATCCAATAGGAAGACCCTTTCTGCATCACCCTGTACATCTGATGTACCCTAGAAAGGGTAGACTAGGCACATCATGCAACACCAGTAAGTTCTAGAAATAAAGATGAAATCCAAGGAGCTTCGAGGACCGGGTTGCCTTGTATAACAGCCTTCCCTTGGATAACAGTTCGGGTTCTGGTCTGCCTGTCGGGTTTCGGGCTCACCTCCACGAAGTCAATTCACACCTTCCCCTAGGCTTATAGACTTCTCTCTCACCACCCTTGTACGCCACCGCCGCCATCGCCCATCAGTCTTCCCATTCTTGATCGAACCGAGACGCTGCCATATTATCATCGACCTAAGGAGCGGAATGTGCGGTATGCACCAGGAAACGAATTATGAAATACCAACTACGGCTATGATGAGGAAATGTAAGATCGCGCACGAGAGACCAAGATTCCACCTACCCTACTACCCGAACGAACTCACAAACTAACGATAGTAGATGCCGACTAAGGAGGTGAACCCAGTCCATGAGATGGCTCAGTAGGAATACCACTAAAAGGCTTCCCACATGAGAATAAATGCTCAGGTGGAAACAGCGTGTAGAGGGAGAGATGAAGTCAGTTCAAGAATGGCAGGACAATTGGTCGTTCCTAGTGTAAGCCCTAGTGACGAGTGATAAAGGGTATAGTTCTTATTTAGGAAAAGGAATGATAATCAGACCAGCAGAGTAGAGGCCACCACAGACAGTAACGGTGAGAGGTCGTTGAACCCAATAAGGAGCATTGGAGACGCTACTGATACTGATCTTGAACGATGCCGAGTAAGTCTAACTAGCTACTACATACCGCACCACTCTCAACGTTCAGCACATGCAGCGACTACCCCCAAAAGCCAAGTATTTCCGCCCTATCACGACCCAACAAGAACTGGGCTGGCGACTACCGATCGAGCTCTTTGGAACAGATCTTGGCCACAACATACAGAGGAATACTGAACTGTGGGCAGACTGATATCATCATGCTACATTGATGTGATTGATTCCAATAACAGAGATTAGCCTTGCGCTTATCGAAAAAAAACATCCCCTTGCAAGGTGATATAGGAATGATACCGATAGAGCATGAGTATACTCCTTAGCTTGAGCCTCACTACTAAAGTGATACCTCCAACACAACACAAGAAGAGTAGGCGAACACAGAAATGTCATTTCTTCCCCTTCCGAGCTCCAGGTTGTTCCTTATGCCCAGTCCAAACGTCTCGTAGCTGATGGCTCCAGGATCGGCCCTTACGTCCATTTGTAGCTTTAGTCTGATAAGAGACCGAGCTCAACACACAGTATTAAACCGCGGTACTACCTGCTCGGACCCCCCGGGTGGCGGCACGTCAGTGACGGGCTTGGTAGGGCCCACTGGATTAGCATGAGGTAGCTTAGGTACGACTTTCTTCAGAGCATCGTTATCTAAAGGCTCGACACTTCTAGATGGCGTATCAAATACAAAGTTGATGAGATCTGATGAGAACGCGGTACGACAGAGCGTTGAATCAGCAAGTCCTGATTTTACTATCACTAGTGGTTGCGAGTATTATAAGTAGTTCTCGCTAGTGCGTCTCCCCAGTCGTCCCCGACTGTGTACACCTGGCATCCTCCTGTTCCGTCCTGGCCTGCTTTCTATTAGCTTCTATATCTTGATTGGACTCCCCTTGATGGGACCCCAGCAGAGGTGATACGAGAGAATCATAACTCGAGGATTGGTCGCCGTAGTCCGACTAAATTGATAAAGGCATCATACCCAAATCCGCACATATTCAGCTCACCCGTTGGCCATCCCCTCCAGCCCGATTCGAAGGTCGTGTAGCTGGCCAGAATACTATAACAATGAGCAGCGATGGTATCCATTCCGTGATACAGTATACCTAATCATAGTAGTGATGATAGGGATATCGATAGAGCCTCACCAGGGAGTCCCATGCTAATCGATCGACACTTGCTGGACCGTATGTTCTCATGAATCCAACCCCATACAGGAGGCTGAGCACACCTCGCACTAGGAATATGATCGGACACGTTACTGTGAGAACAAGGACCTGAAAGGACTGTGTGATACACCCAAGTTGCGGTATGTAATCACCCGATTGAGAACCGCTCGGTTCTTGCTTGCCTCGGTCGTGGAGACCCCAACAACTGAGCGCTGCCTTCGCGATCGATCTTTCAACTGACTTGATACTTGTATCTGGGAGGAGCCGTAGTTCCAATGAACGATATGAGAAGGTGGAGGCTACCCCGTAGTAGAAGAAGAATATAGCACAGGTGAGGTAGAGTAGGCCCACTACGAAGAATATGTATCTACCAGGGAAGGGATGTAGTCACGAGTTGCGAGATCTATTGAGCTTACTGACTATATTGATGCCAAGCCTTGAGGAGGAAGGTCACTCCCGATATGATCAGAAATATGCCGTACCTGTGGAGCAATAGGGGAGTCATAGATGGGTTGGGAATTGTACACTGCGATATTGAAGAAAAGGCATACTGGTCGTAGTAGAGGATACGACACTAGGATGGCCGCATAGTACACCTGTAGAGACATTAATAGGAGAGGGAGGTTCATTAGTACTACTTGAGCCCAGAATAGTATAACGATGCTATAGGTGGATAGGAATAGCAAGGATGGGAAGACCATGAGGAAGTAGTTGGTCCAACCCTGATGATAGCAAGAGCGATTGGTGATTAGAATGATGTTCATCACTACCCACCTGGACAGAATGCTCCCATACGTGCTCCCTAACCTCAGTGTGGACGACAGCATCAATGATCATACTCACTGCTCTTGCTAGGTTGGACAGGCATAAGCCAATGAGGAAGAGCTTACGAGTACGGCTACCAGTGAGCGACACTGCCGGGGCCTGGGGTGGAGTATATAACGCCATACCGCTTGGTAGTCCTATTATTACAGCATCTCCACCACGCCTCTCCTCACGTTTCTGTTGAATCAACTGCCTTGCTGTTACGATAACTATGACCATGAACAGGGCACAGTCTCCATAGGCAAGCCAGGAAGCCTTAGCAGAATGTGGTGTGAACAAAGGGAGGTCCTTATAGCTCGACGAGACATCCCCTGGCTGTACGGTGGGTGGGGCATCCATTTGCGAAGCTAATCGGAACACATTCAATCAACGAACTCTATTGACTAGTCTGATACATTGAGGGCGACAGTTTTGCACGAGTTTTATCATCTGTAGGCTCCAGGTTCGATCCCCAGTGCGGGCATTTTTAGTGTCTGTCCCATCACGCGCTCATGTCGTCCCGTTATTTCAGATAGTGGAGGTCCCGTAAGCTCTAGTAATGTGTTTATAAGTACCACGGAATAGCAGCCTGTTAGTTGATTCTCCCGTAC